TTTCCATTGTAAAGGGCTTAAGTGCTAAATAGAGGGACAGGCAAATGACCGACGAAACGAATGAGCAGCTGGACAACCTGCTTATAAAGTTGTACCCCACAATCAAAGGTCACATTTGTATGCAAAGCAGCCGGAATCACGGTGAGGAAGGGGAGGCAGAGCTGGGGATTAATGCTGATGACAATCAATAAAAATAATTTACTCTCTTTTTCGGAGGAGAATTAAATTAGGACTTACGACTGATTTGTGCCTTAAATTATTTATGGGCGGATGGACTACTCAATCTAGTTGAGAAATTACTATGAAATTGGACATTAGATGTGAGCTTGTGAGATGGAAAATACCTTTGAAAATGGTGGGCTATAGATGTCTATAAGAATCCTTATTGGTTGTGATTTTAAGGCTACAATTTTGAGATGAAGAATGAAGAATGAAGAATTTACGAGACCTCGATTCGGTTGAGATTCCACTTTCAGTTCAATTTTTGCACTAAAAGAAATCTCAAAAATCATTTAGACAATGAAAATCTTTAAGGAATTATGAAATTAAAGCCACCAAAATAGCTGCATAGAATTTAACCACTCGTAAGATTTTATTGTATCAGAAGTGCGTATAATATCCTCTTAGTTTATTATCCTGCTTCTTGAGTTTCAAGCACATTTCCCGCATTTCCTACAAAGCCCCCACACACACACAACACACAAGAGAACGAACCGGTGGCGGTATCAGGCATCGGATGAACTCCACTTGACCCAATTTCCTTTCCCTGCTGCAGCAATAACACCCACAGATTGCTACTCCCACACAACACACACATCCATCAACCATCATCAGCCATCAAGCATCATCAACAGCTTCCCAGGTTTCATTTGCCCAAGAAATTACAAGATTTTTTGTATGCTTCTGTTGTGGAAATTGCACAAGAATTTCACTCTGTTTCGCCTTATCTGTCTCTCTCTCGCTCGTTTGGGAAAAGCACATTCAAAAGTTTGCCATTTTATGGACGAATGTCGTCGATGAGAGATGCTTCTCTGCTGTTAAATGATAATTAAATGCGTGTTTATTGCATGTGAAGTAAATGTTGTTCCCAGACAAAAGAAACAAATAAAGTCAAGTAAAGATTTTCACCCAAAAAAGAAAAAAAAATTATCAGTCTGTGTGCCACAGTTGCGTCTCGCATCGAGGCGTGGCGTGGGCAGCGTGCCCTTGCATTTAAAAATAATACACACAGAACAACGTTGCAACATCGCTGCCTGCCTGCCGCACAATCATCTACCTCTTCCATCTTCTCCTCCACTGCTGCTGGCCGGCTCTCTCCCTGCCACTTCTGCTGCTGCTGCTGCCACTTTTGTGGCTGTTGCAAGCTGTAAACAACGAAACGGCAGGCACTTTTGTAAAATGCAGTTTGTTTTTTTTTCCTTCAATATTGATTCAAACTTTTGCCAGTTTTTTATGCGAGAATGTGTGTACCCTTGAAGAGGTAATGCCAAACGAATATTCTTCTATAAAAAGAAGCCAAAATTTACTGAAAATTTATGTGTTAAATAGACATATATCTATAGAAGAGAATGGTTTGTAACATAAGTCCTTCTTTATAAATAAAGCCACGCAAAAAGCCCCCAGAAGATAACCGAACAAATTCCACCCAATTGTATTTCCATTTGTTTATCCACAATCCTCGCAAAAGCATCTCAAACCAAAGAACTAGTGCATATATCACATATCGTTGTATGAAAGGGTAACTTTAAAGCTTAAGCGTAAAAGGAAAACCCATCTTTAGTGGCCTTCCTTGTTTTGCTGTTGTACGAGCTGCAGCTCATTGGCTTTTCCTCCACTCATGTCGTGTTTTTGACTTAACAATATGATATTTCAGGCAGCAAGTTTAAGCCTTAGCCCGTCTCTCTCTCTCTCTCTCTCTGTCTTGTTTGTCTTATTAATTATGCAACCTGTGGGGACTACGGCAACTACGGCACACAAGACGAAGCCACAGCCAGAGACCAAGAGACCAATCGATCAATCAGCCGCCTCTGGTTGTGCCACAGAGACACAGAAGCGGGCTTCAGCGGCAGCGGCAAATGAAGCCGCAAAAATGCTGTAGTTTCTGTGTGTGTTGCAGTTGCAATTGTTATTGCACTTTAGTTTACAACTCCTGCCGGCATCCGCCTGCACCCCCTGGTGCCTCACAGCACACCCCATAATTATGTAGTTGGAGCCCCCCCGATGCAAAGGAAAGGAAATCGTTTGGCAAAGATCTTTTTACAAATCGTTTTTTTGGTTTTCTCTTAAGGCAAATTGCCAAGCAGTCGGCCGGCGGTTTATTTAGTTTGGATTTGTGCCATCTTATGCAGATACGTAGATACACAGATAATATATGCACAGATGCAGATACAGATCCCACGCTGCTGCCCGGCAAAGATTTTTCATTACAGTTTATGACCAAAATATAGCCATTCAAAAATATTACACAAAATGCATTTTCCCCATGCAAATATTCGCATTTTTTTGGGAGCATTTCACATTTTGTACACATTTTATTGGAAATGAAAAACCCCATAGAAAGAAAGCAATTTTCATCATGAAATTCAGCTTCGATTTTTGACCCCAAAAAACAAAACAAAACTTTATTTGTTTTCAATTATTTTCACGTATGTTTTTTTCCGGCAGATGAGTTTATGTTTCGAGTTCAATATTTCCTTAACGAAACAGGAAATATTTCCCACAATTTATGCACTTTTTCTGTAATCAATTTACTTACTATTTCATCTAGAAACTACTTGGAATGTATTTGCATCTTTGTGAGACATTTTTGCTTTCTGATTGAATAAATTATTTATACAATTTATGTCTCATGGCACAAAAGCACGTGCCTCATGCCGCCCTCGTCTTCCACAGTTGATTTTGTTTTTGGCAAATTTTCTATTGAATTTTGGCCAATTATTTCTCGTATCTTCGATTCTCGCACTGATGGACATTTTCTGTGAAATGTTAACAAAATAAAATCTCATGCAATTTCGTTGAGCAACAATTTACTATTCGAATCATTAGAGAACCATTAGGGAACCAAGACAACAACCCATTGAATCAATTAAGAGAACCCCAAAAAAAATAGCAGACAGAAAAAATAAAAAAATAACCCCCAAAAGAACATGTTAAGGGGTCTCCTCTGGCGCCTTGCTCTTCTTAATTTTAATTGCTTTAAAGTCTGTCTGTCTGTTCTTTCGAGAGCGCGTGGGTTGATGATGGGATATGACCCCGAAGGCAGACGCAGACACAGAGACAAGCCCTTTAACTGATGATTGGAATTAGTGGGAGAGATATATATTGTATATTCTATATACAGATGAGTTAAGGGAGAGGCAGTGTGTTCCGTGTGCGTGTTTGGCTGTTTATACAATTAAAACAATGACAAATGCTCGCTCGCCCCCACAGAACCCCCACCAGACTGTGGTTTCAGTACGCGCTAACTCCACGCTTTGGCTTCTCTAATTGAATAAAACATGCTGCTGACTGCAATTTTTTTTGAGCATGTTGCAAGGTTTTTTTTTTTGCTACAAACTTTGCTGTTAGGTGTAACCAAAAACTCTCTTGAAATTACATTTCGCTTAAGCTTTAAACTTCCCTAGTTGCTTCCATTGCTCTAACTTTTTGTTGATCTACAAATTGACTTTAGCATTATTTGTGTTTGCTCTACAATCCATAAGATGCATATTATATATTAGACATATGATAAGATATGGAATTATACCTGGAAACTTATTTGCCGTTCTCGATGATGTGCTAACTGTCTAAATATTTGATATTTCACTGGTCATTCGTAATTGCTGGACAAATATTGAATGTGTATGCCAGAGACAGACAGACCAGACCTAAAGATCAGTCGCTCCCTTCTCTTATTTATCTGTTAATTGTATTTAAAGATTTATTTTTCCTTACAACCTCCACGGCCGTCAGTCATCACAAAATTAGATACAATGAATTCATTGAGATTTTGCACATTTGTTTAACAATTTGGCCAACAACAAAAAAGAGCAAAAATATATTGGAATTTTATGTATAAAATTCCATTTCGTCTTTTGGCATATGAAATTTTTGCGCATTAGCCTGTCAAAAATAAAAATTGTTTATGATTATATTTCGAAATTACTTTCTTAAATTTTGTAACCAAAACAAGAAACTGAAACAAAGAAACGGGGACAGATTTTTGGCATGGGAATATCTATGGCAGATCTATGGGTTGCCAGTTAGGATCATTAAAATATATACTTTATGATAAGTACTTAATTGAAACCAATATCAGAGTAGCAGGAGGGGATTTTAGATCAAGAATATATCACAAATTCTTCTCTTTTTATCTCTCAGATTTTAATGAAAACTATAAGGAAAATGCAGTAGAAAATGCTGTGAAAATCTGCTTTTTGTGACTCGTTCTCGTATGATTAATTGGGTTTCTGCGCGCTCTTTCTCTCTCTCTAGAGAGCATAACTAATCGCTGAGCTGCGCTGGTGGCCTCTGTCAAATGAGATTTGCATTTACATTACAGTCAGCGCCAAGAGTGTATGGCTACCACCCCCAAAAAAAAAGAGTAAAAGTCAAGCATTCATTGCCAGAGCAGATGCTTCGCTTCGCTTCGTAGTCGCTGGTGTACTACGAGTACTCGTAGGATGCTATAAAAAGCGGGCAACCCTCACCTCACCTTGACATCATTGTGGGTGGAATGTTGTGGGGTGTGTGGAGGGAGGCACTGTAGCTGGGTGGTTGGGTTAAATGTAGTTGCATGCTACAGAGACGGGTGCACAGGTGCAAGATTTAATTGCTGCCAAGATTTTTCCTTTTTTTTTTTCATTTTCATGCAGCAGAAAAAGTGAATTAGAAAAGCGAAGAAAAATGCTCCCATGTGGATGTGTGTGTGTGCCATTAAGAGATGGCAAAGGGAAGGGAATATTTCGCATTAATTTTCATTTACTTACAGTTTTTCCTACTTCTTTTTGTTGCCTTTGCAGAACCCACTGCGCCCTCAAGTGACTTATCCACAGCCTCAGCCACTGCCAAATCGAGCTGCCACAAGCCACAAGAAAATTCGCAGACTTCACCTTCTACTGCAGCGACCAAAGCAAGAGCCTCTGAGGACTCCAGTGGCGCCTCAAAATCCAGCGGATACCGGGGACAGCATCCACACTTTTATCATCATACAACGCCCGCGTATTATACGGATCTGCAGTTGAAGATTCACACGCCACAGGCCACGGATGTGGGTGCGTTGAATGAGAATTATCAGAGTGTTTATGCAACGCCCAGCTGCAACACACAGCTGGTGGAGCAGCGCAGATCGTTTCCCAAGAGTGCAACACGTGCCACGTTTTTTCGTGGCGAGGCTGCATCGACACAAGACGCCACAAGAAGGCGTCAGCGGCCGGGCAGCGAGTGCAATCGTTACTTCAAATACTCACCGGGATCTGTGAGCCCTACAAAAGGTGAAGAAACGAGCAGCCACAGCAACCATCCCTTGAGTCAGTCCCCCACAATCATCAGAACACCCAGCCACAGCCACAGCCACAGCCCCAGCATTACACGCACACGCACCAACAATAGAGATAGTTGTAGTAATCCACCCGTAGAGAAAGCTAGTCCTGTTCCAGCTCCAGCTCCAGCTCCTGCTCCAGGCCGCAACAGTCGCCATAAGCAGCGGTTCCATCAGCGTTCCAAGCGGGCGGTGCGCGTGCGCAGCGAGTCCCGTCCCATTAGCGCTCTCTACGATATAATATGCAAGGAGAAGAATCAGGACGAAGGCGACAGCACCACCAGCAGCAGCAGCAGCAGCACAAGCAGCGGCAACAGCAGCAGCAACGAGAAGGAGAAGGAGACGAAGGAGCAGCAGCAACTGAAGGACACGGTACCAATAACCGACAAGCTGGCGACCTTTTGGCCTTTGCATCATCGCTTCCACACTCCCCCACCATCAATGCAGAAGGAGCCGCCTCCGGGTGGCGCCACCACTGCCACTGCCACTGCCACTAGTCTCATGCCAAGGCGTGGCGTTGGCGTGCAGCCGGAGAACAGCAGCAGCGCAGACTCGTTGCATGCCCTGCACTCTAGTCACAATTGCACGAATCTGGTGGCAGCCACTGCCAACGCCAAGGCCGCATCGCTGCCCCCACAACCCGCACGTCGCGTGGCACCACCAGCTGTGTCTGTGCCAGTGTCGCATCATCAGCGCTTGGCCAAGAGCCTGGAGCCCTCGGCCAAGACGACAGCACCGCCCGCGTCGGCGAATGTGCGAAACTATGATGCGGGCAGACCGGTCAGCACGGAACGGCTGTTCGTGGAGCCACCGAACGTCTCGGGGCTGGCAGTGCAGGATTTCAAGCGTCGCTTGATCAATCAGGGGGATGGACATGAGGATGCCGCCACTCCAGAGGAGCAGCAATTCGATCAGGGTGAGGTCTTTGATACCCTCGCACGCTGGCAGAAGGAACTGACGTCTGCAAGTGACAAGATTCAGCTGGTGAATGGTGCGACAGCCACAGCCACAGCCAATGGCCATCATGATCATTACGAGCATCAACATCATCATTCACCTCATCTAGAACACGATCAACGGTCGCACATGCATCAAGAATCATCATTGCCATCAGTAGAATCGCCAGTGAGCATATCCAAGCATCAGCATCAGTTGTCTCCTCAACATCAGCACCAGGCCACCAATGCACGAAGGTAAGCAGCCAGCCCACAGCCTCCCATTCCACGCTCCCAACACCCAGCAACCCTTTCTAACCATCTACAGAGTAACCATAGAGTATCCATATTTATGCCTAAATGTTATTAGTTTTCACAGGCATTATACTCGCAGTCTCTCTCTCGCAGTGTGTCTTAGCAGCTAGGATTGAGCCCTTTGCTAGTTGCAGGGTTTTTTGGCATTTCTAATTGGACTTCAATTGGTTGTTCATTGAGGGACATTTTCTCTTTCTCTTTGCCCGTGAAATACTCTTGTAATCAGTTGAATAATCTCTCTCTTGGCGCTGCTTCGAGCCAACATAATCCATGGCTTACAATCAAAAACAAATTGCATTCATTTGTTGGCCACCTTTTTCGTGTAAGAGGAGTTCGAGTTCATATGATATCTTCAGTGGCTTCAGGGGGGTTATACAATCGACAGCAGCGAATCGCTTCTTTGACTCTACGGCGCGGCGTCTCTCACTTTAAGCCGGGCCCCTAAACAAATCGAAGCCCGGGAATGATTCGAATGGGTCGTATGGGGTTGAATGGGGAGAGCTTGTTAACAAACAAAATCCATGTATTGTTTCCACCTTTTTTTTAACTCTTTGGTATTGGCTTTTGGCTTTGTGCTTTGGTCTTTAATGCTTGTGTGTTACGTCGTCGTTGGGTCCATTGTTTTCGGGTTATTGCTGGATGGATCGTAGCGAACAGACGCGACCCCAGGGTTGACATTTTCCCTCTCTCTGCGACAAAACAATCGCATCAATGCGTGGAGGTGCAATTCGCAGCGGCAGGCAGTAGGTTCGGGCTGTGTTCCATCAATTATAATGTGATATATCAAAAGTTGTCTCTGCTGTGACCCCCAGACCCCAAAAGACGAACCCAAGCGACCCCCCAACTCCGAATGCAACTCCGACTCCAGCTGCAAGTCGTAGAAAGCACCTGTTTAACAGCCGAAAAATGAAAACTGAAAACCGAAACGCGAGACCATCGATCCACACAGACCAGACTCAGAGAAGCGACAAGTTTTTCCCCCCGGCCCCAACTTTCAGGCTTTCGCTACAAAAATGCTTCATAAAAGCGACAAAAATACATAAAAGAAATGAAAAGTAGAAGAAACGGTGGAGGCCTAAAAGCCAATGTCTCAGCAGCAGCAGCAGCAGTAAAAAGAAAACTGCATTCAATGTAGAATTGTGTTTAACGAGAGAAGAGAAGACAAATTTGAATATGCCACAAATTAAGTCTTGGAATTTATCGAACGATACGCGATACCCCAATGGGTCGACGTCAACACCGTCATCCAATGATCACCTGCTGTGCAGCGTGCTGCCTGCCTGCCTGCCTCCTGCTCGATGGACATTTATTTTACGAGGTGGCAGCCAGCTAGTCGGTGGGTCTGTCTCTGCCTCCTGGCCCAGATTGTCTGCCTCTCGCTCTCTAGTTTCTAGTCCTGATTTCGCTTTCTTTCAGCATCAGCAGCAGCAGCAGCTGTGTGTCGCAGACTCCCAAAAAAACAACAGAAAACCCATTTAAAAGTATCTACAAAACTGGTTACACCGCGGCGACTCTCATCGCATCATCACTTTTCCTTTTTGGCGGTGTGCAAGTTTTTCCTTAACGACAACGGGTTGGAAAGTTCTCGGTGATCAGCGTTCAGCAAGCCAGCGGCCTGCAGCGTACTTCCTCTCAATTTATATAAATTTATGGAAATTTCCATGGGCAGCAGACAAAAGAGAATCTCACGGCGGAGAAGCTCATGCAAAATGATTAAAAAAACAAGAACTAAAGACGAGAAGCATACCCTGCTGAGTTACTGCTCTATCCTCAAAGTTAATTGAAAGATCTCTGGCTCTGGTAATTATTTCAATTATCTTAACAACTACCAGACAGACGGCTACTACTTTAATTGGCCAAGACGTTTGTTGGCCCTAGAAATGATGCCACAAATTCCAGACAGCTAACAGTTTTTGTTGTTCTTTTTTGGGTTAATCCCTTGACCCACTTCCGACGGGATCTGTCACTCCTCCGGGAGGCATTTCCACCACATAACCATGTCCTACCCCTACAAGGGCATATGCATGCCAAAAAGATGTTGTATCTTTGTGTCTGTCGCGATGTGGCTGTCGCTGTGTCTACGTCTCGTGCCATCATAAAGTACACAAAGCAAAAAGTGACATTGATGCGTCGCGACATTTAAATGCTGCTGCTGCTGCGGCTGCGGCTGCTGCTGCTGTCTACCTGACAAACGGACAGCAGAACGAATGGACAGATGAATGCACGGACAGTGGGACACTCCTGACAGACAGTTAAACGTACGGAAATATGGTTGGACAAGACGTAGAGGAGAGCGAGTCGTGTATTGCGCTTGATTGAATGTCGCCTCGCCATTTTTCACTCTCTCGCTAAACAAAATGCAATGTCAGATGCCCAGATTCCAGCTGAGGAAGCGGACAGAGAGCGGCGGCTCAGAGTCTGCGTCTCCGTCTGCTCTGCTCAATGGATATCTTTTACTCGGCAAATGTGCATAACTTTGAGATACATTTGGACTACACTGGGAGAACTAGCAGAAGACCCAACAGTACCAAAAATATCTGAATACTGGGAGTTATCATTAGTAGGTGAGGAAAAATAGTTCGGAATAGAATAAAGCGAATGAGTAAAGAATAGCGAACCAAAAAATATATATATTAAAAGTCTCTTCTAAGTGAAAAATCAATCAAATCAAAGACAAACTTTCGTGCTACCAAAGTGTAACTTTTATCGAAAAAATCACTGAAGAAATAAGTACTAAAAATATTTTTCTGCAGTGTAAAAACCTCCTGCCGGCCTGCCTGCCTTTCTGCGCATGCGTGCAATCTATAACAATAAAAAACTTGTTACGCTTTGTTCTGTGAGAAAGATAAAACAAGCAAAGTATCTGTCAGATACAGATACTCCACGAGTACACTCACAGATGCGATGGCTGCGACGACGACGGCTACCTGGTGCCGCACCAACAGATGTGCGAATTTCGAGAGATCTCTTTTTGGTTTCGTTTCTCGGCTTTTCGGTTTTTGAGTGATTTCTGCTAGCGAGTGACTTTGTTGCTGGAATTTACCTTTAACTTTACGCTTACCTTTCCGCCTGGTCTCTTTTTGTATCTCAAAGAAACCCAAAACAAAACAAAACAAAACAACAAAAACAAAAACAGCGAACGAAGCTACGCTCAAAGCCGTTTGTATCTCTCTGTCCCAGTCTGTGTCTGTGTCTGCTGGGTTTCCACTGCGTTTGCCGTAGTGCCCCTCGGCAGTTGTTGAGCGTGTCTGCTGTGTGCCGCATCTAGCGGATCCATATACTGAAAGTATCTAGCGCGAACGAGCAGAAGATACAGAATTAACCGCCTGCCGCGTGTGTCTGTGCCGTCATCCACCGCCACTATTTCTTTCCGTGTAACTAATTTTGTTTATGAGCAATCTGAAATGGATACAAACGCTTCTTGAACGTACTAATGTGATTCTCAACCTCCTCGATCTCGTCTCTCCGCCTTCTGCAGATTCATAACGCGCACCACACGCTCCCATAGTCGCCAGGGATCCGCCACTGGTGGCCATCACACATCGCCACCGCCACCGTTGCCGCTGCTATCCTCCGCCTCCGCGGGTGCCATCATCGGATCTAGCACCACAGCCGCTGGCTATCATAGTGACTCCTCCTACAGTTCGCCCTCGCCCACCAGGAGACGGAATAAACCATTAATTGGCACCGCCACAGGCACCGGCACCCTATCCACAGATCCCCAATCCTCGGCGAATGGCAATAGTTCTGCTTATGAAACGGCAGCCACCACTGTGATGACACACGGACCAGCAGTAAAGGCGCCACTTCCACCTCCTCCTCCACCACAGCAGCAGCTGCAGCAGCAGCAGCATCGTGATCAACAGCAGCAGCAGTCGCCGGTTGCCACCGTTGAAGTTCCTAAGGCGGAATTCAAGCCTCAACCTCCAACCGAGACGTCCATCAGCGCCGCCGCCTGTCCAGTTGCAGTTTCAGTCTCCGCAGCAGCCACATCTGCCGGTAACTCAGGTGAGTCGACAACTCCTTTAGTGGCATGCAACGACATGTCTCGCTCTCTCTCTTTCTCCCTCTCTATCTCTTTCCTTATCTCTCTGTTTGTGTTGTTTGTGTTTGTCGTGTTGCCTGTTTCACGTTTCAAGTTTCCTTTCTTGTGTGTGTTTGTCCTTGATGTCCTTGAGTGTTTGTCCTTGCTGCTTACTGATCTGCGCTTCCTTCTGAGAGGCTGGAGTGATACTCACTCTTGCTTGAGATATTTAAAACACTTTTTGGGCAGTAAATTTGCTTCTGCCTAACACTTGAGATAGAAATCTGCTAAGCTACCAGAAAGGTTCGCTTTATTTATTTATGTTTAAGGTTCATTCCATAAGGTTCTCCTGGAAATTCCATTCATCCTTATAGATCTTTGAGGGCTTTGAGTATTATTTTTTGGGCCTTTTTTATGAATAAGGGATCCCCCTTGGTTCTCCCTTTTCTTTTGCTTTGTTTACAGAGGTAACGAAGACCAAACTTCATTTAAAAGATTCCCCTTCTAATGCTCTTTTAGTGATCTGCTAAGGATCCCCTTTTTAATACGCTTTCCGAGAGCACTTGAAGCGTCTCCATCGTCTGCTCATTGGAAGATCTCTTTCCATTTTTGCTCATTTGTGGATAATTATTTATTATTCAATTGTTATCCGTGCAGCTTCCAGTAGATCCATCATCAATCAAGGCAACTCCTGAACCCTTTTAGTAGATCATTTAATGATTACTCTCATGATAGATCACTAATGTCCATTGTATTCATTTCCTTCTGTGCATGAGAAGGGGAAATAAGTATCAGATTCCTAGATTCCTCATGCCTTTTCCCCATTCAGATCGTTTATTGCTGCCTTACCTTAGATAATTGAGTGATCCCCTAACAAGAACGGATCCAAATCCTCTTTGCTATTCCCTTAAAGAGAAAAACCTTTCTCTTACTCTGCTGCTACCCCTGAGATCACGCAGCAAATTACAATATCATTAATGAAATTCTTCGTGTGGCCGCTGAAAACTTTCCCACTAAAATGTGTTTGGTAATTAGCCCGCCCCATACCCCTTGGCAGTGCAGAGCAGAGCAGCCCTGAACCGCATTCATTTCTGCACAAACAAATTAGTTAAACGAGAAACCAAAAAACTTCCATCATTCAGACAGAAGAGACCTGAGTGATCCGAGACTTTGTGTCTCGTTTTATTTTACTTTTATTTTTGTTTTTTTTCTTATTTTGCGCTACACTTAAAAGCAATTTAAACGAAATTAGATTTTTGTCGGCTTGCCAATCAAGCGTCGACTCGAAACGAAAATCGTTTGCTAGACATAAAATGTTAATTTGTTTCTATGTTGTATCTATATCTATCGATGGGGACCTTCGAACATTTACTAGACTCGTAAATCCAATTGCAATTGAGACTCAAATCAATTTCGGACTCAAAACAATTTCCAAATCGATTTGGACTGTCAGAAAACTGTCTAAAAACGCCAAACATAAAAATTATATAAAATTTGCACAATTTTTAACGATATTATGACAACGAATTTCTCAACAGACTTTGCTCCTTCTTTTCTGTGCGTATAAATGAATAAAATTGTTTGTCATTAAATAAGATTGAGACTTGGTCCCAAACCCCAAAACCCCAGCAGAGACTTCACGCAACTTTTAGGCAAATGAAAGATGCCATAAAATTGCTAATAGATCTACACGAATATCTCCTCAAAAAAAAAAAAGCGAACCTAAAACCCAAACAACGAACCCCAACGGATCCAACGAGCTAGCTAGCTGGCTGTGTGCCCAATTTGTGTTATTTTTTATTGCTTATCAATTCGGGATTTCATTCATTGGAAATCAGGTTTATTATCAAAAAAACAAAAAAATAAAGGTTTTCATAGATATTTTTGACAGACCCCAGAGACATCTCTCTCTCTCTCTCTCTCTCTCTCTCTCTCTCTCTCACTCTCGCTCTGTCGCGTAACGGCTGTTGGGTTGTTGTTGAGAAAGTCTTTCCATTCGAGTTAGAGTTGCGTGTCCAAAGATTGAGGGATAGGATCTACCAAGAAGCTGTCAAAGATCGGCAGCACAGATGCCATAACCCAAAAGAGCTGCTGAAAGATAGATAGAATCAGTACACCAAAAGCTGCACATAGATTGTCGAAATATGTCTCTAGTAACAGGGATCCATGGCTGCAATAGTTATGGTCTTTCCCAACCAAAAAATGTGCACAAAAATCTTAGGAATTCTCCTTAGATCTCAATCGTTACTCTTCTCATTAGCATCTAGCAGCGGAGGATCTGCTGTTTATAGAAGGGTTTAATCTCATTCCAATTAAAAATGCCACACACATGGGTCGACAGTTTTGTCCCATAAATAAACAACTTCTCCGCCGACCGATGATCGATCTTTTTGAGATCTTTCATTTCATATCATTTCCCTGCCAATTGTTATTTTCCAGGCCTTTTGTTATCTTTCCCTCTTTTGTTTGTGTCTCGGCTTGGCCTGGCGTATTGATTTCAATATTTACCAATTTGGCAATTTTTGTTCATGGAATTAATTTGATTTTTGTTTTTGGTTGAGGGCAGCCCTCTCGGATGGATGATGGTGTCCGTGGCAGCGAAAAGGCGAATGCTCTCGCAGAGTGCCCTGGAAAGTTTAGAGAGCGTTCAGTGATCTTTGACAGGCAGGCAGGCAGACAGGCAGGCAGACGAAATGGATGACAGACAGATGGGACTGACAGTCAGAAGGCAATGAACGGAGGACGGTATGATCATCATCATGCTTGCTGGCCTGTTGGCTGGTGAAAGATGATTCGCTGAAATTTCGCAGCGCCCTCTCTCTGCTGTCTTTGGAGATTACGAAATCGTTTTCGTTCGTTGGATTACATAAGCCATAAGACACATAAAAAACACAACGAAACGATGGGCAGGGGAGGAGCTCTTCAAATGAGCTTGCTTTCACATGAGCGTTAGATTCTTGGGATTCTTTGTGAGATGTGCGAAATTCCATAGAAAACAATTCCATTGCCCCTAGGGGCAAAGACGCGTATTCCCATGGGCTTCGCATTCCCCCAGTTCTTGTTTATTTTTGTCAAATGAAATTCAATCTTTGAACGAACATCTCCGTTAGTTGATGTTTATTTGTCTGTATTTATTTGTATTTTGACAAATTATACGTAATCATTGTCAGGATAGTTCCATAAATTATCATTAAATGCTTTTGCTAATGAACTTTTGATCACCTTTCAAACTCTAAAACCCTTAAGCCTCAAACTATCGACTAGCAATGATAGATTTCTTTTGGTTTTGTGACAGAAAACTTTCGCAAGTATTTTCCATCACTTTTTCTCCACTTTTTCCCTCCTTCTCTCTGACTTTTTCTTCGTCCATCATCGATCAATCATCGTATCTCGCACACAGCTCTTTGCTAAGGGTTTTATGCTGTGATTTTCCCATGGCTAAAGCCAAATTTGATCTAAATCTAATGGCAATAGGAGAAAATATGGTACTTCGGGTGGTACTGCGGGTGCCTCGAAGTCCAGCTTTCGATTATTTTTTCTGACTTTTCTTCGTCGAATTTAAAGTTTTTGACTTGCTATTTAGATATAGATAAAGTGTATACCTTTCCGAGCTGTTATATGATGAAATATCTGGCCAAAATCTATAATAGCTACAATCCACAGTCGTTATCCCACACTTTAGGCCGCTTCCAGCTAGCTTTTTTTTTGCTTTTTCCACTGTAATTTCTTGTCATCGATCAATCTTTTGGATATCAACTATTGTGCAATCGAAAAAACAACAGCAACAACTGCAGATCATAACAGATCCCACAAATGCTTTAATGTCTCCACGCATATATTTACCGCCCCTCTAACATGCAACATGCAGCAACAGCTACAAGCAGCAGCAGCAGCAACAACAGCAGGGGAAAACTTGCCACCAAATGCAGCATTAATTGCGCTTACATACACAACAACAATTGTAGCTGCCACAGCAGCAGCAACATCAGCAGCAACAGCAACAACAACAGTAATCTGCAACTGCCACAGAAACGAGGCAACAACACCACGCCCATGCCGCCCCTAGCTAATGCCAACAAAGCGCCTTTAATTGTGCTGAAAGCTGCAGCAGACGCAGCATCAACAGGAGGAGGCACCACAGCTGTTGCCGCCGCCGCCTCTGCCTCGAGTTCACCCATAAAACGTCGCAAGAATCCGCCCGCCATTTCCCCTTTGAGCTTTGGCTTGGAGGCAGCGACGGCGACAGCGACAGGGGGCGGCAGCTGCTGCTCTTCATCCACATCCACATCGCCCCAAACCTCGCCAGCGGTGCGTCAAACTAAAGCCAGTCGACTGCGTGCCGCAGCGCTCGGTGAGTGTCCTCCCAAGTCTCTCTCACTCTCTCTCTAAGCCACACAGCTGATATTACGTAGAGTTCCATAATTGGTTCAAGGGTTTTTTATGCTTTACTCTCTTCAAAAATGTAACTAACATTCCTTCCGCGCTATCCTTTCTTTATGTTGTGTGTAAAATTGAATGTCAACCAAAGCTCCTTTTCATCATTTAACCAATTGTTTACCCCACACACACACACACACACACACACACACAAATTTGTGCCTGCAGACAAGAAAAAGGAAGAGGAGCAACAACAGCAACAACGTCAGCGCTATAGTTCGCCCTGTTCCCCAAGGAACCCTGGGGCAGCAGCAACAGGTGGTCGCTCGCCAAGTCGTCGGCTCAGCAGCTCTGAGATTTCACCCAAATCTGCCATCGTGAGTGGCTTCAATTCAGAGCCAGCAACAGGAGCAGTACAGCAGTTCAAGCCGCGTTCCTCCTCCCAACCGGCTGATACACCGCCCACACAGCGCAGACATAATCTGGTGGCCGTTGGCAGTGGCCTCTCCATGAAGCAGAACCTCAGCGAACTTCACTTTACGGCCTCGTCCGATTGCACCCTGAAGATGATGCGGCCACGCAGCAGCACATTGAGCACAGAGCAAACGGACAACCAAAATGGGGCACGCGATAATCTCAATTTGGCCAATTTGCAGCTGAGTCCCGTGCAAAAGCACAAGCGAACGGTAAGTACTCAGCAGAGATCCATGTGGCATGTCACAAAAACTAATCTTTACCTCTTTCTTTGATAGCCGGAGAGTTCCCCTCGTCGTCTGGGAGATCGCGATAAGTCGGCGAAACGTAAATCAAATTTGAATCGTTCATTGACAGAGGAAGCCACCAAGGATGGCGGTAAGTGCCACCACAAAGACGGATGAGGCAGCAACAGTGACAGAGCGGATGAGGCAGCAACAGACAGAGCGGATGAGGCAGCAACAGCAATCCGGGTTGAGCCATCAGCAGCCACAATCACAGCATCCAAATTTGGTTTTTGTTTTGCCTTCAAGCTTGAATGCATCGAATGAAATTGCCAAAAAGGTTCCCCAAGCGACAGATAGACTTCTTCTCTGCCATCAGTCAATCATCGAGCGTCATGTGGCATCAACCACGCAGCGGTTACACCTTGCAACAATTTCATTTCCATCATTTTGTGCTCCGTGAGGAGAGCTTGCACAACGCGTCCATTTCCATACGAAAAACCTGTGTAAAATATGTTAAAATCCGCCACCAAATGCTGTGCCTGCCCCAACACCGTCCACCTATGCTGCTGTTGCCCCAACTCCGCCCACTGTTATGCATGTGTCCGCCCAAGTGTCCTGTGAAATTTGAAATCCCCCCGAAAATCCCTTAGAAATCCACAACTAAAACCCTTATCTTCTCTTGCAGATGAGGCAGATGCCACGAATCGCCGACGACGACGTCGGGAGCTGGGCATGGCACGTCCTTTGGTGCCTGGCGATGATGAGGCGCTGCGGGATCTGCTCTCTCAGTCGCCGTTGAAGAGCTCTTGCAGCGAGTCCACTGGCGCCTCGAAATCGGAGCCCGTGCGTTCTGTGGTATGCACTTACCCAGGACTGCGTCATCCCGAGGTGGCTGTGCGCACGATGACAGCGGTGCTGCCAACGCCACGACCGCTGCATGCCACACAGCCGGCGGCAAAGAGTCTGTCGCAAAAGTTCAATGAGCGAACCCGTGCGGATCTGGCGGAGATTAAGAAGATTGTGGATCAAACGGAGGAGAAGCAACAGCAGCAGCAGCAGCAGAAGCAGCAGCCAGAGGAGCTGTCCAGTCAGAAAATGTCTGCTGCAGCGCTGCGACGCAAGAGCACAGATGAGGCAGGAGCCACAGGAGCTGCACAGAGCTCTCCCCCAGCCCCCAATCAAATTGTTTCCATACTAAAGAAAAAGGAACAGGCCTTTGGGGACTGCAATTCGAGTGCTTCGAGCAATGCCTCACCGGTGACGTTCTCCTCGAGTGTCATGGATCCACCGCTGGCCGGAACTGCTCGCAGCAAGCGTCAGGGGATACTGAAGAAGCGCTCGAGCCTGGATGAATCGCGTTACTACTCCCGCTCCCATTCACCGGATGAACGGAGCATTCTGATCAAGTCAGCGCGCAGGAACTCCCTCGAGGAAGCAGGCACGGGACTGAGTCCCGCCCAGAGTCATGGCATACTGAAGCAGAGCAGCTACGACAGCAGCAAGAGCGATGGCTGCCCCTCGGCGACAGAGAGTCAGCCACACAGCATACTGAAGAAGAAGGACTCGCTGTCGACGCCCTCGGATGGCGGATGCCACAAGCATGTGTCCATCTCGCAGGCCGTGACACTGGCAGCCGCTGAACTGGCGGCACATCACGATGGCAGCTACGGGCTGGAGGATGTGGCCGTGGATGCCGATGGGCATGAGATTCGACCCATTCTGAAGCAGGAGAGCACCTCCAGCGAGGAGGCTGTGCGCCCCCCGAAGCCCATACTGAAGAAGAAATCGTTCGGGGATTCGGATGAGCACGAGACGATTCGACCGATTCTCAAGTCCTCCCGCAAGAGTAGCCGCGAGGAGTTCGACTTGAGCGGATTGGACCATGAGGGCGGCAACGATTCACCCATTCATCCCATACTCAAAACGGATTCACCCTCCAAGCGTCGCTCGCTGGGCTCCAACCACGACCAGGATTCGCCGAGTCTCCTCAAGCGCCGCACCCGCTCACTGGAGCGTCAGGATGCGCCACCAGTCATCGATTTGGCTGCTGCACTCGATGCCATCTCCACATCGCAGGCGGCAGCTGCACCCAACAGCAGCACCCCCGTGGATTTTGTCACCACGCCGTCGAGCATATCCGTGGCGGAGAGGATTAAGCGCATGGAGATGCTCGCAACGCCGACCTCACGCCTGGCGGGTGGCATCAATAGCAGCTGGGAGTCGCCGCTACAACATACACCAGAGGCAGCAGAGGGAAGTCCTGCGCCGCGACTGCTGAAACCAAGTGTCCTGCGAAGGGATCTCCAACGAGAGCGATACAAAACGCAGCCAGTTACCAGCGAGGAAAAGAGTTTGTAAGTTTTGTACTCGTATTTGTTTGTGTGTGTGTAAATCTCTCTCTGTTTGTGTCTGTAATCCCAACATTGCGTATACGCATAGTGTGGCTGTCAGACTGTCACCATACGACATTTGCGGCTTCACGCTTCGATGGTCCAAAGAATTCCAGCAGCAGCAGCATGGAATCATTGCTATTTTTGGTGCGAAATTGCTGGCACTCGGCCTAAGCCTATAAATATTTATCCCTCACTCTCACGCTCTTGCTTTTCCCCCCATGGAAAATTCATACATGAAAATGTTGTAGAGTTGTTGCCCCCCGATTCAGGGTCATTTTCATAGCAGATGCAGATACATGGGAGTATCTGTTAGTCATTGCTCTCGTATAATTATTAAACATTTATTCTGTTCTGCTTAATTGTGTGTTTTTGTGGACACACATCGTTGACCCCCACTCTTGGATGATTTTGCCATATTTCCAGGGAAAAACTAATTCTGTGAACCCATTGAACCCACAACAGCACCTGACCTCAATTCGAATTTGCCATCATATATTCATTTGACGTAAATTCACTTTTCTTTGGCTTTGCTGTTATGTTTTCTTTTTTTTTTGTATTGCCTCTTACCCATTTTTATGTCACTTAAGCAGCTTATTGCTTGCCTAATTACCTGTGTAGGCACCCCGTCCTGCACCCCACTCTCTCTCTCTCCCTCTCTCTCTGTGCGCAACAATTGAGGCCAACAAGAACACGCAAGTGTGCCCGCAAAATAAAAAAATAAAGCAAAATAAAGGTTAGTAATGGTTTGGTGATTAGAGAAGGTCGATTGGCTTACGAGGCAGAGGGGTCTCTACTCTAACATAGAGACACTTTTTTGACAGAAATACAAATAGAGAATGAAAAGAAACACAGGAGGATTTTTGGCAGACAGAATAAAGGAGAATGTTTGGGGTTCTACTTATCTATCAATGATCCGAACAGGTTATTCTATGGAAGCTTATATTATTCCAATAAAGCTTAAGATCACAGCTGAATTAGCCATCAATCGTTTAAGCTTTGTTTCCTCTCGCACAACCTTTTGGTGAATCTTTTTAGTACCTCTTCCTGCCTTACATTCTCCTCTCTCCATTGGTCCGATTCTGTCAATTCTCACCTTCCGACGTGCTGTTAATTTCTGCGAATTTTTCCAAAGGTTTGGCCAATGTCAAGCGTCGTAAACCTAGTTTTCAGTCACTAAAAGCATTTCAGAATCAGTATAAAAATACTAGAATAGATACCCCCTCCACTCTACAAAGTTCTCTCTTTAACTGTGTTTTTATGTCAGCATTTTATGTGCGCTGCTCCGAGAGTGAGTGTTCCATAGAGTTCTTCTGGTTATTTTTTTCGGGGCTTTTGTTTCGCCTGGCATGGCACTCCCTTTCCTAAAAAACAAAACACACAAAAACACCGGCAAGAACAGAACAATAAGTTCTGTTGGTGGTGCCCAGCCCGTACCGCTGCTATCCCTTCCATACACTGCCTTTGTTTTTCACACTCTCTGCCGCCTGTCACATTTGCATGCAGCGAACGGTATTGTCAATATCTTTTCGCACACACATTCGCACCGACATTCGACAGTCGCGGCTTTGTGGCGTGTAATTTATGCTGCCCATATAGCCATATAGTCATAGAGCCCCATAGTAGAACACCACCACACAGGGAGAACAAACGTTGCTGGCATTTCAGTTGGTTGCAGCGCTCGAAAGCGTTCAAAAGATACTACTGGGGTTCTGTTCTGGTCTGTTCCGTTCTGTTGGGGGTGTCTGCGTCATAACCATCTGTATATTCACTCGAGAGCAGAGGAGTACGAGCACTCTTCCGGCTGGCAATCATCAACCAATCATCTAGATTGAAGTGGGATTCTACACCAGCAAAAGGGTTTGTCCTTGGTTCTTGTGCTCCATGTTGTTGCTGCAGCGGCGTCAGAGTAAAAAAATGTTTGAGGCGTACATCAGAAAACGGTAAATGGAAAAGCCCTCAACCAATAAACACAAAAAAATCGAAAAAGCCTGTCAAAAATCAAACGAAAAACCCTGTCAATACCTGCCGGCATTCAAACATTTTTTTGTGGTGTGCCAGAGAGAACAAACGTTTGTAGTCCGATTAAATCGATATTGTATTAGTAGTGGCCTATGGCATGTCCAATTCAAAGTTATGTATCTGTATCTTTCGTAATCTTTTGATAAGATAACAAACTGTTGGGACACAATCGACAAAAAACTTAGTCAGCGCGAAAGACTTTAACCCTGAACCCTATCACCAAGGAGAATCTATATTTTATGGCGGGTAAAAATGAGCTAACGAATACCTAAAGAAATGATTAAGCAGAAGGCAGACTGCAAGTAGGTTCCAGGTTCATCTCTTCTAAAGCCAAGTAAGGATTAAAGTATCTGAAAACCCATTGATAGATTAATTCGACATGTTGATGAACACCCCTCAAGTGTCTTACACAAAGAAATGACTAATATTTCCCATAGTTTCCATAAGAATTCAAGGGGCATAGCACCCAAATGTACTCTTTTATACCATTTAAGTATTGGGGATCAACAGAAGTACCTTTTAATAGGTAATTACAAGGCCTAATGAGCCGCCCCGTTGTATGTTATAGAGCTGAAAAGTGCCATATTTGCCCTCTTTATTGGAACCTTACAATACACCTAAATAGGATAGTGAGAAGTGTTTTTGATCGGCTAATTTTGCAGGGTTCTAAGAGTCACAGTCCCCAAAAGTAGCACCCTTTGACTTCATCTATCTATATATATATATTACAGGCTCTATAAAGCTGCCAAAAGTCGTACCATATTTTTCCATAAATAACTTTTTCCATGTCGCACTTTTTCAACGTCAGTCGGTGGCCCATTCAAAAAGCAAAAGTTCCTAAAAATACCAATAAAACAAAAAAAATGAGCAACAAATGTTCTCCTCTCTGCTCTTTCTCTATTTCGCTTGAGCAACGTGCTGCTGCAAAAGAAAAATCAGAGAAAATCCACTAAAGAAAGGAAGGAAAATACCAGACCAAAATAAATACAAAGCGCAGCAGCAATAAAAAGAAAACGAATGAGGAAAAACAAAAGCTGAAAATAATTTAAATTTTCTGGCAGCGACGTCGACAGCGGCACTCTGCACCACTGTGCAGCAGCACCACCCAACCAATCGTCGCACCACTCAACCGCTGGCCGGTTCGGATCGGATCCGCCGGTCCGCGCCGCTCCACTCTGCTCTTCCGCTGCTGCGATCGGCAGCGGCGTCGGCGGCGTCTCTCATTTGTTTTTACAATTTTTTCGCTCAGTCGCTCGCGATCGCTTTTTCAATTTTCACGTACGCCACCGTCGAACGCAGCGCTAAAAGCGCAATTTTTATATTTTTCTAATGGAAAGCTAACGCTAAAAAAATCGATCTAAAGAGAGAAGAAATTTTAAAGGAAATTAAGAGTGAAAATAGTGAGGAAATAATAAAATAAATAGTGTTTCAATCAGTAGACATAAAAGAGGATAAATTGTGACTAGGAAAGAGATTAAAATCCTTAAACAAAGAGAAAAAATCGTGCTCCAATCGAATGTCAAAAGAGAGTACAAATATTTATCAAAGTTCTCAACAAAAGAGAGCATAAATAGTAATTAAAGTTATCCAGAAAAGAGCATCCACATTGTGATCAAATTTATTGTCAAGAGAGAGTATAAATAGTAATCAAAGTTCTCATCAAAAAGAGAACGAATAGTGGAATAAATAAGTGGAAAAGAAATCGAAACTACTCATAACTGATAAAACACAAATCGCTGCACGGTTCGGTTAGCTACGGTCCGGTTCGGTCTTCTTATCAGGTGGAAGGTACGCGCAGACAGAAAGAACAAGGTAGAAATAAATATATGTACGAGTATGCTCGTATATTTGTATATCTGTTGAAAGAAAAACCACGTTCTCATACCATCAAAATGTCTTTGGCAGTTGCCGGCTGACGGTCAGAATTCATTCGAGCGACTTTCCCGCGTCATTTACCACCGCGTGTTTGTAAACTGACAAAAGAAAGGTTGGGAAAATACATTTAAATATCAATATCAACATATTGTAGAAATGTTAAGAATTGTGGATACGAGTGGCATTAAAATAGAGAAAAAATATATGGAAATGAGAGGTTTTTCGAGCATCTCTTTCGTAATGTGCTAAAAATAAATTCCATGGAAAATGTGCAAGGCAGAAAGCAAATTCCATTTCCAAGTGCCAAAATATGAAAACGCCAGCTGGAAAGTTTGCAAAATATTTGTTTTAAATCACAAAATGGCAGCGACAATGCCATCATTAAGAGAATAATTTGTGAAAAATATTACATATATATTTTTGCGGCTAAAAGAATACAAGTACTTTTTTAGCTCACGTTTAGCTGCTCATTTTCGTGATTAGATCATTCGGACAATCATCATTTGTTTTTTTGTTGGTAGAATATCTGCACTGTTGGCCCTAATCATGCGCCCATAAATATTATTTTAAAACTATAATTAAGCATTCATTCTGCTTCTCTCTTTTGTTGGCTCTTTCTCTGTGTTGTTTTCTCTTTCGTTCTCTCTTTTGTTCAGTCATTTTGGTTGGTTTCTCTCTCTTTCTTCTGAAAATCCAATTAGCTTAGTTTTTCTATTTATTTTACTTGTTTATTTATAGTTTTTCCTCTCTCTTGTTCACCGCTGCCTTTCTTCATTCGCATTGCCTGGAAAATGCAAACAAATATTGGGAAAATACACAGAAAATGAGGAAAAACTTAAACAAGTTGTTAGGTGAAACGACTAAATATAGAAGGGAATGCGGCAGGGAAAAGTGCAGAATACAAAACAAAAGAAACTTTTGTTGTGCAATTTTGGATATCTTTAGCTGTTTTTTATTTTTAGTGTCTCTTTACACCTGATCATCAATTCAATTACCTTTCACTGTTGGCTTAAACAGTTTTGGCTAATTCTTGGGGCCATCGCTGAGCGCATAAACTTTTACCTTCACTTTTGCCTGATGAGAAGTAATGCCTTGGAGGGGTTCAGGTTTCACCAACCCAGCCATCGCATAGCCATAATTAACTTGACCAAAATTGCCTATAATTATGGCCAAAATGATGTTCGCGAGAGCATTGTTCGCCGTCAGAGAGAGATTCACACAATGTTAATGCCATTTGTTAGTTGTTATGTAAATGTTTGAGTGGAGTACATCAACAATTTAATCTTTTGCAGCTTTAAAGCAAACTCCACGCCCTTTGACATCTCGTCGTCGGGTGCTTCGTCGGCGTTCAAGCCCACCAAACCGCTGGACATTCGCCTGAGTCACACCCAACAGCAGCAGCAACAGCCACTAATTTCGCCGATAACTGGACAACCACTGAGCCACGTGCCAGCCCCACTGCTGCTCTCCTCATCGACACACTCGGGGGCAGGCAGCTCCTTCCGTTTGGCACGCAGCTCCACGCAACCCCTACAATCTCCACGTGTCGTGCACTTGGCCGCACAGGGTGGGCATTCGAGTGCATCCCCCCCAACCTCATCGTCCACGCTGCTGCTGGCACGCCAGCATTCAATCAACGACAGCGTCAATCTCAGCGAACAGTTGACCCTCTCTGTGGGCACGGACAGTGAGCACATCTTCGAGATGTCCGGACTGGATGAGGACTCGGCCATACAGTCGCTGAGCGACGATGTATCCGCCTCTGCATCTGCATCTGCATCTGCCACCGCCGCCGCAACCACAACGCCAGCCAGTGGTTTGGCCCGCAGCAATAGTGTTCGGGCCAGGGCCAATATGTTCCAGCAATTGCAGCAGGAACAGTCATCGCGCAGTCGTCGGTCCGAGGCAGCAGCATCATCATCATCAGTAGCAGCAGCAGGAGAGCAGTCAACGCCACGTGCAACGGGTGAGTACTTCATAGAGACATTAGAGGGACAAAGGCAGCATGATGATGGGGGCATATCATCATCAAGTGGGTTGGCAAAAATTAGCATGAAGCAATAAAACAAATGAGGCGACCGTTAGGTGGAACAGCGGGCCACACTATGCGAACTTTGTTGTGGCCCACGAGGCACAGGCAACGAACCATGGCAAGAAGGCCAAGACCACAGAGACCAGAGAAGCCAGCATGGGATTACGATATCGCAGAGCAGAGTTAAATCATTTGGATTGGACTGTGGGTTAATAGAGAACACTGTTCTTAGGGCGAAATGTTTGAGAAAAGGCTAAGAAGAGCTCAGGGTTGGGGTAGGATTATTAGTTCTTTTATAAAACTCTTCCATAAAGGAACTTTTTTTCATTCCAAAGAATCCGCGGAACTTAGTTTCTTCACTAGAATTAAAACCCCTCTTTCCATGTATCCATAACTCTCACGATAGTTCCTTCTACAACTGACATAATGAAGTTCTAGAATCTAGATGCCATAACACACAGAACGACCAGTAGGTATATCCCATCTTGAGTTAATGACCAGCTTTATTGGTCTGTGACACCTTTAAATTGTGAGTTTGTTTTGCCTGGTGTGTGTTGCCATTTGTTGTACCGTTTTGTTGGCAAGCCTCTCATGGTTTGTTGGCCAAGTTAATAAGCTGTAAAATGTGTGTCACTTGCCTTGCCACACACACACAATCACTCGCTTGTCGCGGCGGCTAATTGGAGCTCCGCGTGGTTGTTGTGCAACACATTTGTTGTGCCCAGGCAGGGGCTGGGATTGCACTCGAGATTAGCAGTATACCATCATCGAAGGGGATAGCAGACCTTAAGTCTGGCTAGAGTAGTCTTTGAGTGTTATGTCAATCAGTACACAGCAGTACGTCGCGTAGGCTTCAAATTAAACTCTAAAAAAATATTGAAAAATAATTAATAAAAAATGGAAATAATTGTCAAGATAAAAATTACAATAGCAGCAGATCCGATGACTATCCAAGAAAGAGATATATTTATACATATTCCAATAATTTCAGGAGCCACACGACGGCAATCATCGCCTGGAAATACCACGAATCTTGTGGAAATGTCGTCCCTAAATGATGATCCAATGACGCCAAATAACACGCAAGATACAGAATTTGGTAAGTTTTCCGTTGGCATTACGTTGTGAAAGAGCAGATGGAACTGGAAACATAATTCTGTCTGCTCTTTTCATATGCGCAACTGCTTTACCAATCATTTTTGTTTGCATCGAAATTTTATCGTTTTGATTGCACGAAAATTGCTCATGTTTTTTGGAATGAAAAATCATCTATTTACACATACCCGTACATATATATTTATTGTTCTTGTTGTTGTTGTTGCTTAATGTTGTCTTGTTTTTATACATATAATTTTATTGGCGCCGACCGCAAGACTAATTTTTAATGATTAACTTGAACAAATTTGAGCTCGCCGCAAAGAGAAAATTGCGCAATTGCGAACACAAAAGGAAAAGGAAAACTGCAAGAAAACCCCGTAAAGAGAATCGCAAAAAACCAATTTTCCATGGTTTTCCATGCATGTGCATCCATCATACGTACATTTGCCATTACCTTTTTATTTCCATTTTCATTATTTTCTGCCCGTTTCTTGCGAGTTTTTGGCTTAATTTTTAACAAATGAATTAACTACTTGTTTATATTGTTGCTGTTGCTGTCTGCTGTGTTTTTCTTTTATTATTGTTGTTATTGCCGCATGAGAAAACTGTTAACCCGTGTTTTAATTTACTTTGTTTATGTAATTTATGATTGGCGGTTTTCTTTGCCACATTTCCACATATTTTCCCGATGCGTTTTTTTCCGTCTGGGGTTTCTGTCCGGGGTCTTTAGTGAACTTAATTAAGCGTTCATAATTTGTTTGGCATTTGCTTACAACATTGTTTGGACTCCTTAAAGTTTTGAATTTTTTTTTAATTCAAGGGGAAGTCTTCCTACCCTACCTACTCCTTTGTGTGTTACACTGACACACTTGTGGAATGTTTTGTGGCGCTTCACTTTGTAGCCTCCTCTTTTATTACCATCCAGCTATCGGTTAGGAGAGTTTTACGACTGCTGATTGGGACTGCCTCTCCCTGTCGTCTCGTGTCGTTAAATTTAATGTATGATAAGGTGGAAATGACGCCGAACTTGATGCACGACAGTGGTGTACAGTATCAACCTATAATTAGCATAAAACAAGGCAATTTATTGAGTGTTTTGTATAATATTTGTAGCAATATTTCTTTGGATTTTGGCATTCCATTTAATCTTCTGATTTGTGCAGAATGTTCTGGGCAGCTTTGTATAAATTGAGCCCAGCTTAGGAGCTCTGTTTTGCAATTCAAAGGAGTTTGCTATGGTACTTGTTTGAATATTCAAACTTTACTTTTCGGACTTTACGATTTATACAAATATTCCAGGCTTATTCCTTAGTAAAACAAAAAGTGGTTGATGTTTCTTTTGTTGATTCCAGTTCACATGCATAATTTATTGGGTTTTCCATATAAATTGAGAGCTCTGACGCATTTCCCCCTTTGGTTACTGCAATTATTGAGAGCTACGTTTCTGTGGCACTTCTCCAGCCTCCAATCTGCTTCTTTGGTTGCTGCTTTCGTTCTAAGCGAATGTTCCACATGTTTAACTTCACTCCACAGCTTGTTGTATCAATCATGCTGAATAAATTCCACAAAGAAAGTTCATTTCAATTGAAGAACAAATATCGAAAGTTGTCAAATGAAAATGAAAACTATAAAAGAGATACATGTACATTATGTGCGAGTATTTATAGGTACTCTATGGTCACCTCTATGGCCGGCTGGCTAGACACTGGACAAAAGAGTAAAGTAAATTATAGAAATTGCTATATAAATGCCACAGAAAGACGAAACTTTCTATGGTTGGGGGGGGGGGGGGGGGAAAAAAATTTTTGTTTTTTTGGGGGGGGGGANTTGGTTGGGGTCTTTAGTTTAGTGGTTGATAAAGATACTCAGCAGCGGCAGCAACAAATGCGAGTGTGTGTATGTATGATATCCGCATAAAAAAGAGAGGAAAAATACATGTTATCGGCAGCAGCAGCAACATTTTGTGTGGGCGCCTCGGCATGTTTTGGATAAAAACTCAATGCGCACATCGGCTTTGACTTTTGTAAGTCGCCACAAGTTGAGGCGCAACCACAACGAGCGTGCAGCACATATCAGCAACAACAACAACTGCAATCAGCAATAAATATTTATGAATTCAAAAAGAGCAAATGAGATGCGTAAGATGCATTCTACAGTAGATAACGTCTAATCCCTCAACCAAAATCCCATCTTCGATCGCAGAACCCTCTTCATTGTCGCTAGCCGAACGCTTGGCCTTCTTCAGCAACCTGTGCGATGGCAGTGCAGGCAGTGCCAGTGGCGGCGGCCGGTACCGCAGTCGCACCAGCAGCTACTCCCGGAGTCCGCCCATCGATCGCACGACGCCGCGCAGCAGCACCACAGCGAACAGCAGTTGCAGTGTGACGCCCACGCCCATGGAATGCTCACCCATACCGTACGAACAGCAGCCGTCTAGTCTAACGCTGGAGATCATCAGGGAGCCAGAGCAGCCGGAACAGGAGGAGCAACAGCAAACTACCTTCCACGAGCTGAGTCGCTCGGCCACGGAGCCATGCAACAGCAGCACCAACGCCGACACCACACAGACGTTCATCAAGGGTGTACGCTTGCGTACGGTGGGCAAACTCATCCTCCCAGACACATTCCGTGGTGGAGATCGCAACAACAACAATAAGAGTGGCAACATCAGTCTCAACCGGAACAGCTGTCCAGCGGAACAGCTGCATATTGTGGAGGCAGTGAAGTACCGAGTAAACACCCGCGCCATTGGCAAGATCAAGTCACCGTTTATCGAGCAGCAGCAGCATCACTCCACACACACGGTGTCGAGTACAGTGAAGCCTGTGAAGTTCGACTACAAGCAGACAAATGGCTCAACGAGCGGCGACAGTGGCTCCGATTCCGGCAAAGAGAACTGCGCCTCCAATCAGCAACAACAGCAGCAGCCGCCGCCTCAGGTGGAGGCATTGACACTCCAAAAGATCGTGGATATGCGCAGGAAAATCACGCGACTGGTGCAGGGGCAATCCCAGGAGAAACAACAATTGACAGCCCAGCCCGTCAATCGCCGCCACACAACAGAAATCACCAGCTCCTCGATGGGTGCTGTACGTTCTCCCAGCGTGGATGGACGTTATGCCAAGTACTTTGGCGTTCAGGAAGCATTCAAATCCACAACGACCGTGATAAAGACACAATCGATGCCACCACTGATTGTCACCAAGGTGGAGGCCACCAACGAGCATGTGCGCCAGCCGGGCACCCCAGCGCTCACGCAGAAGCGTCGCGAGATGCTGAAACGCACGCGTCCCATATCCCTGGACGCCTACACGAATGGCTCCATTAGTCCCACAGCGATGCCCAGTCCCAAGAGAGCGCATTCGCCCAGCAATCGGGCAAAGGCAACCATTTCCAGCTTCGAGGATATTGAGGTGACGCCCCAAGAGCTAAATGCCGCCGGCAAGGACTTTAAGCGTCTTTGCGTCGAGATATTGGACTGAAAAATTGTTACATTTTGGCCAAGTATTCAAAATTCTCCCAATTTTTCCACACCCAATCGATAGATCCCACTCTCTGCCTGTGCGTGTGTGGATTGTGGCGCCTCAGTGTGATAGATGCGCTAGATCCTCTTCACCTCCCCCGAAAAACCCAACAACTATTTGCTCTGTAAAAAAGAAATTCCCCTTCCGTTTTTAATCTAAGAAACACAGCCCTAAAAAACGAAACGAAACTTCAGCAAATATCAAACGAAAACGAAATATATTTATTATTCAATACAAAATGTTAACGTTAGGAAAATGTATTTAATCCCAGCACCCCAGAGACAGTTTTACTTTGCAGCCAGCCCCCACAAATGTCAGCATGGGTGGGAAGTTCGGTTCATCTACCAGTTGAAAGTTAACGATGAAAACTGCAAGCAATTACTTTTTATTTACATTTAAAAGCGAATTGTACCTTAAACGGCATTATATTATTATTATTATATTATTATATGGTTATGTATTACATTTATTATTATTATTATTATTGTAATATTTAATTGATGGAAGTTGTTAAACCAAGAAAATAAATCCAAGAATTGTGCTAAAGAATAATGAGAGAGATTAAACTAAATATAGACTCAGAGTAAGTACCAGGAATGCGCATGAATATCAGTTTATAATTCATTTGCCTGCCTTTATTGTAACGGAATGATTTTGCTTCGATTATCCTTGGGCACACATCCGTTTCCAATACTTTCTCAAACTCAAACCGAAACTAATCTTAAGCTCTTTTCGCTTCACAGGCAAACAGCCCAACGAACCATTAAAGGGCATTCTCAAGAGCAGACCTTTGGCTGGTCCCATGGGTCGTGGCCTCATGCCCGTGGATCTCAATGCGGAGCTAAAGAATCGCCTGAAACGCTCCACGCATGCCACCGTCTCGAACCTCCGCAAGTCGGCGACCACTGCAGATGCCACACGTGGCGATGAGGTGGACAATCCGCAGCGGAACCTGGCGCAGATACTGCGGAATGTATCCAAGGAGAATGCCAACACACCGAAGCACGATGATGCCGTGAATCTGGTGAGGAATCTCGCCACGCTGGGCCAGCCTCGGGCGGCAGCAGCTAGCGAGGATGCGGCGGCCGGTAATTGTGCCTCTGCATCGGAGGGCGAAAGTTCTGGGGGTCGCGAAATCGAGGCAATTATCAAGAACAGTGCTGTGGCACGTCGTCGTCGCCAGCAGCAGCAGCAGCAACAGCAGCAACAGCAGCAGCCACAGCCGCCAGATGGGTGAGTCCATGTCCATCATCAACAACCGCTACAATTCCCCCGTGCGCTGTGTGTTTGTGCATTAACCAATTACTAAAAAACACTAAAAAGAAAACCACTACCCCCTAGAGATTTGTAAGTGGGAGATTCGAACCCATTTTTGTGGATCATGGATTTATATATGAATATTTGTATACACACAACGTTTAGACAGCGTCTCTCATGCATCAAATGTGTGTGCTTCTCAAGACTGGTTCCAATATGAAACTAAAAATATTTACAATTACAATTAATAATGCAAATTAAAGTGGATAAAAGTTTTACATTTTAAAAATAGTTAGAGACAGCCACACGTTCATTTTGTAAATGTTCTGGCATTTACACACACCCAACTCACACACTTTTGTGTTTGTTTTGTGCGCAAAGTTTTGGCTTTTGATTAAACAGAATTTTCACGCATGCACTCGAAAAAAAAAATACGTAAACAGTTTCTTAGTCAAAGTGAAGCCCATAGCCAGAAGCTATTATTGGCCACTTAGGCAGCTGCCGCACCAGCAACAACAGCAACAACTAAAGCCACAACAACAACTACTACGAGTGCTAGTACCACCCCAACAACTACAACAACAACCAGAACAACAGCTACAGCAGAACAGGTTGCTGTTGCGACCGAAACCTTTTTACAACCACAACTTTGTTCAACAAAAACACTTTGTATAAAATCTTAATTATCGACTAGAAATTAAGTTCAAATCTGCATTGCTTACAGCCCGTTTTTTGAGCAAAACACTAATACACTTGATATACTACAAATAAAAAGGATAAACTATATATATTTTATTGAAAATTTGTTCAAAAACCGAATATTATATATATGCCACACCATATATTTTTACGAGATGCCAAAAAAAGAGCACAGAAAAAGAAACCACAAAACAACCAACAAAAATACAAATAAAACGAATAATTAATAAAGTTCAGAGGAATCTACCTATTTAAATGTAGTTTTGCTTGGCCACTAACTGTCGTTTGTCACTAATTTAATAACAATTACTAAAAGCATGTTTCTATTGTGCATTTGAAAATTGAATTTGAATTCAAAATTCAACGAGCGCTTTCCATTGCTCAGTGGCGCCACTGTCATTGGGGTGTGTGGGTTTGAGAACTACAACAGGAACAGCATGGCATGAGCGCAAAGGGTAAATGTACTTGGTATGTAGCAAATGTGTTGTTACCATGTAGTTACCATGTAGAAACATCTTACATTTGTGCTGACGTTTTTAATTTTTTATTTAATATAAACACCATTGTAAAGGGGACATGAAAGAAGCCATTCTAAAAGGAAATTAATTCATCTCTCTGAATAAATTATATATATTGCGGTGCGGATCTTTGTCAGCTAGTAATGTAAAATAGAATATTAAAATTTAGGAATATTATTTTCAGCTGTATATTTTCGGTATATTTTGAAGAGTGAACGTATATTATTCTCGGTATATTCCTAGGGATATTTTTGTGCTCATGTTTGAAACGCAAAAATGAGTCACGGAGAGCGTTTGGTAGGAGAAAATTTCCCCGACCGTTAAGACACAGGAGAGTATTTCCCTGACCGTTTAGACACAGGAGAGAATTTCCCGAGGACCAAAAATTGCCCATGTTACAATGGGACGCGCGCGCAAGATATATTTTGAATTGAAAAGCTTAAATAAATTCAGAAAAAAAACAGCTGGCTCGGATTGAACGCGTGCGCGCGTGTTTTGTTTAACAATTTCGAATTCGCGTGTCTGTGTGTGTTTTGTTTACGCTTTAGTTCGCGCGCGTTTTTTGTGTTTTGTGCCGGTCGCAGAAATACTCGAAAGATTGTAAATTGCATTATGCATTATTGATAAATTGCAGTGCCTGAAGCTTCTGTTGCTTACAACAATTCGCACAATTGCCAATCCAATTGAAAGTGCAAGTGAAAATACAAATACAAAATACGATCGGTCGAGCGGGGAATCTTAAGAAGCAGCTTGTAATATTGCAGCCAAGCCATAAAAGGTTCGTTCAGATTATACATATTTATGACCATTGTCCACGTAAAGGTATAGGTAAAGGGAGAGTAGAGGGGAAGAAGTTCTCAAAGCAGTTTCATCTGCCTCTCCCTGTCTCGCTCTAACACACGTTCGGCTTACCTGCTGCATTGCTACGGAATTGCAAGAGAAACAACAAAAAGCAAGCAGAACGAGCCGAAAAAAACAACTGTAAATTGCTTCCATTGAAAGATTTTGCTGATTCTCTCTCCTCTCCCTTTTTGTTTCGTCTGTCGTTTCGACGTCGTAGTTTTCGGTACAACTTTAATACCCTTACAGAGTGATATGATTTTGCATGGATGTATGTAACGCATATCAGGCAGAATCCACGGCAAAAGACAATACTGTAATTATAATATGTACTCTGTATTTAGTGTCTTTGATTTGAGCATAAAACGCAGATAGGTATGGATAGGAGGCGCTATACCGACACCCGTATTAGGGTATTCAAAGATGCGACCTTGAATCTGGTGTTGTTTCTTCTCCTTTTTGTTGCTGTTGCTGTTCACTTGCACTTACAGTTTAGCTCCATAGCGTCCATCTCCCTCTGTCTGCCTGTCTGTTTCTAACAACTTTTATTTTCGTGTTTGACTCGCTTGTAGCGCAGAAATTCAAGCAAACTTTTGTTTGTTTAGCTGATTTTAATTATGAAGTATTTAAAAGTTTATTGTCTGTCCGAGTTCAAGGTCCCAGCATTCGAATCCACGGATTTAGGCCAGTATTTGCATAGACTTTCAAGCAAAAGCAAATCAATAAAATCTCAAAACCCTTCAGCAACTGCTTTGCAATTTCGTACAATAATTTGCTTATTATTAATGTTATCAATCGTTTGGTTCGGCTTGGGGAGCTTGCATAATAACCCTGGAACCAGTCTGGGGATATCTCTCGAAACGTGCCGCGCAAAAACCGAACAATCCATAAAAACTAATGAATAAACAAAAGCAAAGCAATGCCAATCCCAATCTCAACATTATGCGGAGAATGCCTTTCGTTTTCAATGAATTTGCATAATTTGTTGATCTCTTATTTGTTTATTTTTTTCTGCTCTGCCTTTTCGGGTAATTTCTCATGGCAGTGGCAAATAAAATTAGTTGGAAATTTGATTTGATTTTTTTGATTTGCTGCCAGATTTTTGATTAATGAGCTAATAAGCCAATTAAAAGCAAACGAGTTAAACAGCATGGAAAATGGTACTCCGCCTAGGCTTAGGCACGCCTCTGAACGCTCTTCATATTACAATTTCGATGGAAATTAGTGGCTTTATTATGGCTTTACCAAGTTGGAGCTCCAGTAATGGATGCATTTGATTTGAACTGTTTGCTTTGGTGGCATTTATGGCTCTCCCATAACTAAAATATTCTTCTCTTTCACATGCACTTCCATTGCAATCAGTTTATTTAAACTAGAATTTAGATATGGTGCGGTAAAACTCTATTTAACACTTGAAATTCTTTTTATTTACACCTAAATTTATGTTCCATAAATTATATTCTCAACTCTAAATTATAGCCTGAAGTTGAAACAGATAAGATGTAAGAGTACTCCAATCGTTTCCTCTGCTGATTTTAATGGTAAACAAAACCCGAGAAGTGATTGTCCATAAATAGACAGACAGTCGAAGTGCTTGCTTATCGCTTTTGATTTTTATGATAGTCGGAGTGGCACTCTCTCGGAGGTTAATTTCACTTTATAGGAAAGTGTTTACCAAATGGATTTACTTTCTGTCTGAAAGAGAGGGAAACGGACACATAGAGAGAGATGAATGATAGGAAAAACGTGAGTCCCTCAAAGCTAATGAGTCAAAGCAAACAAAAACACTGAAAAACAATAGAGGAAAATTGAAACAAAGTTCTGTTGAATCGGTGTAGTAAAGGGAATGGGCCTCGCCCCTTAATGGCCCCCTGTCTGAGGAGAGTTGGGTTTCCGTTTCGATTTCTGTTCGGTGTTCGTTCGAGCGGGGTGGCTGTCTGCCTGCCATTAATTGAAATATGCCGCCAGAGTCGAGAGTCGCCAGACCCCGACCCCAAACCAAAACCCCAGTGGCTGCTGCTTCGTGATCGAATGATGCATTATCAAACAGGAAAGCTTAGCGGCTGATCTACCGACTCCTCCCCCGCATACTTCTCCCCGTTCTATTCAAACATTTCCATTTAAAGGCATGTTATTCGATGCTGCACTTCGTGATGCTGCACCCCACCATACCATACAGCTATCCCATCTATTCCAAATGCATTTGCCAGATTAAACAAGCATTAAAACTCTGGATCCATTAATTATGTTTTCGCTTTGCTGCCACCGAAAAGTTCTGTCTTGGCTATAAATATGATTTTATTGGGAAATCTTTCACGAGTCTAACCCATAAATGAAGTTGTGTTCTCTCACCATTTACCATTTACGGGTTTATTCTCCTTTTACATCATCATAGAGCAGAGCTGTGTACACAGATATTTCAGATATTACACAATCTCTGGGCTCTGCTTCCTCTCTGCTCTGTCTCTCTGTGGTACATTGACTTCTCCGTCTCTTTCTTTTGATGTTTATCTTTTGCGTTTTCTTCTACCTTTTTGGTTACGTTACGGGTTTGCACAGCTGTTTCTGGGTTTCGTTTTCTGTCGGTCGTTTCCCCAAAGTGGCTTTAGAGGTGGGATAATGTCTGAATAGACGCAGCTCTTACTCTCATTTGGGTTAGATCATTTAATTGGGCCTACAGCCAACAGAAAAAACCCTTGATTGAGCTCTCTCGGATATTATGAAACACAAAAAACATCTCTCCCACACAGACCCAAATCGCCGCTCATTAAAAATCATCTCTGTGGGCCCGTTTCGGGTTCCGCTCCTTCTGCCTCTCAACGGGCTAATTTATGGCTCATATTTAGAGGGGGAGACCTCCTCCACAGTCCGATACCGACAACGAATTTGAAAGCTACCTCAAAAGTCTAGCGTCTGATC